GAGCCCGATCCGGGACTCGATCCCGGGACTCCAGGATCATGACCTGAGCCGAAGGCAGTCACTTAACCAACTGAGCCACCCAGGCGCCCTAGTGCTCCTTTAGTATGGCATATTAATTTGTTGAAACCAGTGATGATTTTTTTTTTCACAAGCCTTGTTTCATCTGAACATCTTAAAAATACTTCATAAACATCCTTTAGACTAAAGTCTACAATTTGCTGTATGGGCAAGTATGACTTCTATTTTCTTGAAAAGAGTAAAACCACTCCATTCATGACATTTACTTCTCGCTCCTGGGCCTCAAGGCAGGGAGACGGGGGCTTGTGCAGTGAGATGAGGATTATCTACATACACAGTGGTTACAGATGCAGGCTCTGGGATCAAACAGCATTGGTTAGAATGGGGTCTCTAACTTCACTGCTCTGCTCCAAAGTTTACGTCATGCAGAGAATGGAAATAATTGAAATAATACTCTTCAGAGAGTAACTGAGATCATAAAATAAGTTAATTCATGACAATATAAGGAGTCAAATGTTGGCTATTATTATTCTGAAGTGTACATAGGCATAAAAGTTTTTCCAAAAGTATAATTTTGTGTCTCCAAACCAACAAACAAGTATTAAAACTTGTTAACTGCAATTAATTTCAAAACAAAAATAACAAGGATACCCCCTTTCCCAGAGCACTTGGGTGGCTCAGTCAGTTGAGCAACCTACTCTGGTTTTGGCTCAGGTCATGAGATCAAACCCCACAGCTGGCTCCACATTCAGCATGGAGTCTGCTTAAGATTCTCTCTCCCTCTCCCTCTGCCCCTCCCCTGCATGCCGTCTCTCTCTTGCTCTAAATAAATAAATAAAATAGATGATAGATAGATAAAATCTTTAAAAAAAAGAAAAGAATATCCACTTTTCCAAGAGTTTACTATCAAACCTCTAGATGACTAACATATGGGATCATTATGTGACTGAAATGTCTGATTGAAATAACTCAAATGTATAGCTTAACTATAAACTCTTAATGCCAAGAAAATTCTCAGATCAGTGTAAATCCATAATCTTCAAACTTTACTGTGAATGAACTTCACTTGGAACCTGGAAGGTTCGTTAAAGTATAACTAAGGGGTACACCCAGAGTTTCTGATTCACTGGATCTAGGTTCATGCCCAAGAATGTGCATTTGTCACAATGTCCTAGGCGATGCTGAGCTGCTGTTCTGCACTTTGAAAATCGGGATCAAAGATGATTTAACATATGCAGGGATGGACACACTCAAAACTCAGAAGAAAGAAGTAAACAAAACATATGTTCATAGCAAAGGCACTTACCCAAGTGGATCTAATGGAAACAAAAGAACATTATAGTTTGAAATACTGTATGTGTCTGTGGGCAAAAACAGTATTTATATAAAGGAATTAGTGAAACAGGGATCCCTTAATGATATAATCAAACCAAAAGCAAGGTTACAAAAAAATTGTTTATATTTAAATTCTATTTAAGAAAAGCATGAAAGACACTTTATATAATAAGTCTGGCAAAGGATACAACTGTTTTTCTTTTTTAATGTAATTTTCGAATCCTAAAATTTATAATGAGAAGAAACTGTTTCACGTACAAAGACTTGATCAAACACAGATTTAAAATAATGACATTATTAACCAGGAAAAAAACAAGGAACAAGAGACTTAACATCCATAACAAGCACACATGTCGAGTTAATGTAATTACTTGTTAAAAGGCAATATATCACCCAGCTTGAGCACAGTATGTTTTCACGTAAATAATCATCTGAGAAAGCAAGCCTGCAACCTTCTCCTGGAAGCAGACTTCAAAAAGCTTAATCTCAACATGGATTTATCATGTGCATGGAAAATAACCAAAAGAACTCATAAAGCATCAAACTCTATGGCAGGTTTCAGCAAAAAGCAGCAAGATTTTAAAATTGCTTCTTAAGAGATGAATTCTTACCCACCCTGCCCCACATTTCCCAGGGAAATAAAAGCAGAAGTCCTAAAAGGGGCCAGACGGAAATACAGTGTCTGCACAGCTTTGAGTCCAGGGCATTGGAAGGTAATTTCTGACTGTGAAGTCCTCTCTTCCTCTCTTTATTTCTCTCTAGAACACTCAAGATTTACTGATGAAAGCTCAGCAGATACTCGATCATAAAGAGTAATAACAACTAAACTAAGACATTGAAAGGAAAATACCAGATGCCACTCTGCAGGATGTATTAAATGCCACTTAATGGATACATTTAAATCCTCCTGAATCAACAGAGTAACAGGTAACTTTATATCTAAAAGTATTTGACAAATATATGTGTTTAAAAAATGATGGGTGTGTACATGTTTGTCAAGTTTTCTTAACACTGGAAACCTTTAAAAATAACTGATATCAATTCATGTACTTATTTGGAATAAAACTTAAAATACAAACTGTATTAATGCTGATAGAGACAACCACTAACTTCTTCATTAAATACACACACACACAAAGCATGGAAATAAAATACAAATGGTCTTATTTTACCTTGAGTGGAAAGTGAGACTTAAATATAGATAGATGGAGGTGATACTCCTGATATCAAGACTACTCGTTAAATAAGGTAACAGCCTATGCAAAATTAGCATTCCCAATGGATAATTTTCAAAACAATCAGAGAATGCACAAATTAGAGTAAATAGCAGTAGCAAAGAAGCTTGAAATCTACCATCTTATCTCAATTTAATACTGAATTTTGTTTAGTATTTTTTTTTAAGTTAAATTGGGGAGGAGGTGTTGAAAATTGAAGCTGTAATTGTGACATGAATCTTTTATTCAATAATTAGACAATGAAATATTACATTTGTGGGAATTTAGTGTTATATTTATTTGTCATACTTAAGTCTTTCACGTGGAATCTTTTTTTTTAATTTGGATATGTATTCTTTGTACAACACCATGTCCTATATTTAGGAATAATATTGATATAGAATCAATTCCATTTGCCCTTGATGAAATAAAAACATTAAAATTTCATTTTAAATTTCAAAACTCAGATGGCAGATAATGTATTCAAGTCAAGTGTTAGTTTTCTTTTATAACCATCTGTTGTGGTGTAATAACCTAGGAAACCAGACAAGGACATGGCTTTGATATTTTATTTTAGCTATCATTACATACTCTATATACCTGGAAAGTATGCCCTGGCTGTTTTGAAGAACGCCATTTGATAACCACTTCATTTTGTTTACTGTTTTTTTTTTTTTAAGTGAATGATATTCAAGAAAATGTATGTAAAAATTTCAAATATACTGTCCAAAGTCAGAAATAAGATATATGTGGGCTAAAGTATTTGCAGCTAAAGAATTAGTCTGAGGTTGATTTCTAAATGGATGACTGAGCAACATACAGGCAGAAATAGCTTCCAATTATAAAGTTTTATATCTGATTTCATATTTAACAATAAATTTCCTAAAAGTGATTTTATACAAATTTCTTTCCCCTTTTTACTTTTAAATTCTAATAGCCAATTATCAGTCACGTCTCCTTAGAACCCTTTGATGGTATCAGAGTAAATGGAGCCCAGGAATAAGGAGAATGCAGGAAAAGTGACTGTGAATAGAAACGAAAAAGCTAATGGCATGGAAATGAAGCTGGAAAGGAATAAAGCACAGTCCATGTTTCTCTTCCCATTTCTATACACTGTGCGCATGTGCCTAACAAAAACGTCCTTTAAGAGGCAAACTTTTAGAAAATGAGAAGTATCTATACCCTCATATAATGTACTTCAGACCATTTTATTTGGTATTTGCCACAATTAAGTATTCTGAGATTCAATTTTCTGTATTCTTACTGTCACAATAAGGATTGGAAACCTCAATTTTTAGAGAAGGCTGTCCAGAAAAGTTACACCGAGGGCCCCTGGGTGGCTCAGTAGGTTAAGCATCGGCCTTAGGCTTACACTGGGCTCCCTGCTCAGCGGGGAGTCTGCTTTGCCCTCTCCCTCTGCCCCTCCCCTCTGCTCTTACGGTTGCACTCGCTCTCTAGCTTACTCACACTCAAAAAAATATCTTTAAAAAAAAAAAAAGTTACACAGAGATAAGAGCAAAATCGACAGTCTGGAACTGAAAATAACCATCCCTACTCTCCTCCCCTAGGTAGCAAAGAAGAAACACAAGCCATGGACAACCTCACCTCTGTGGCTGGGAATGGCAGCCTGTGCACCCGAGATTATAAGATCACCCAGGTCCTCTTCCCGCTCCTCTATACTGTTTTGTTTTTTGTTGGACTCATCACAAACAGCCTAGCAATGAGGATTTTCTTTCAAATCCACAGTAAATCCAACTTTATTATTTTTCTTAAGAACACAGTCATTTCTGATCTTCTCATGATTCTAACTTTTCCATTCAAAATTCTCAGTGATGCCAAACTGGGAACAGGACCACTGAGAACCTTTGTTTGCCAAGTGACCTCTGTCATATTTTATTTCACAATGTATATCAGTATTTCATTCCTTGGACTGATAACTATTGATCGCTACCAGAAAACGACCAGGCCATTTAAGATGTCCAACCCCAACAATCTCTTGGGGGCTAAAATTCTCTCTGTTGTAATTTGGGCATTCATGTTCTTACTCTCTTTGCCCAACATGATTCTGACCAACAGGAGGCCAAGAGACAAGAATGTGAAGAAATGCTCTTTCCTCAAATCAGAGTTTGGTCTGGTCTGGCATGAAATAGTCAATTACATCTGTCAAGTCATTTTCTGGATTAATTTTTTAATTGTCATTGTATGTTATACACTCATTACAAAAGAACTGTACAGGTCGTACGTGAGAACGAGGGGCGTAGGCAAAGTCCCCAAGAAAAAGGTAAACATCAAAGTTTTCATTATCATTGCTGTATTTTTTATTTGTTTTGTTCCCTTCCATTTTGCCCGCATTCCCTACACCCTGAGCCAAACCCGCGATGTCTTTGACTGCTCTGCTGAGAACACTCTGTTTTATGTTAAAGAGAGCACACTTTGGTTAACTTCCTTAAATGCATGCCTGGATCCATTCATCTACTTTTTCCTCTGCAAGTCCTTCAAAAACTCCTTAATGAGTATGCTGAAATGCCCCAATTCTGCAACGTCTCCATCCCAACAAAATAGGAAAAAAGAACAGGATGGCGGTGACCCAAGTGAAGAGACTCCAATGTAAACTACCTGAGGTAATATTTCAATCTATTAGTATCTGGAACATCCAAAAGGAAAGCACTGTGTAAAAATACTGTCTAATAATAAGTCGAGTTAGTAACAATGACTCTCTAAACAAGTAACAGAAAACAAAAGAAGTAATCTTCATTTACTTATCCAGTATTAAAAGCTATCTTAAAATGTAAAAAAAGAAACCTAACATGTAGATGTGTAGCAAAATGAACTGTATCTAATCATCATGGTTACAAGCCAAACTACACAGAAGTCATGATTTGGAGAGTGTTGGCAAAGTGTGTGACCATATAATATCTACTGTACATTATTGAACACGATGTTATTATCAAGTTATAATCAACTAAAGAAGAATGATAAATCTGATAAAAGTCTTCTGACTGAAAATTATACTAAGATGTATATACACCCTAGTCCCTAACCAAATGCTGATCTATTTTGATACTCATTATAAAAATGTAAGTGGGACACTTTACAAAGAATATTTACTACTAACTTCTAATTATTAGCAAAAACCTAAGAAATTTAAACTAATTGAAATGGTAATTGGAGTGAATTTTTTTAATTTTCATTAAAAAGAGGTTTAAAAATACTTTTCCAATAAAAAAAAGCAGAAATAGCAAAGTTATTAAAAGTTCTTTTTATGACATTCTAATACCAAAAAACTTTGAGTATTTCCTTAATGCTGGAGAAACCAGTTTTATTAATGGTACAATACCATCGTTGCCACTTAACTTTATTAACTAGCTTTCAGAAACTACCTGCTACTTGGGTTAATGAGTATTTGCTTCAGTGAGAAAAACAAATGTGACTATGCGGTTGCAAAGCATAACTATTAACAGAAAAGTGGTTAAAGTGTTTGTAATTACTGGTTTGTCACTTATGTGTAATACAAAAAAAATGTACATTAAACTCTAAATCACAATTTGTTGGAATTTCTTTGTTCAAAGACATTAGATACCACCACTCACCTCTTATATAATCCTACATCAAACAACAAACCCATTTAATAAAGGATAACTGCAAAAACTGTTTTATGACACGTTATTGGGCAAAGTCTCTTTTGAAGGTGACATAACACATCAATTAGTTCATAAGTAAATGAAGTATGAATCTACACAAGCCATAGTGACTATTTTTAATATAAACAAAATATATAACAGAATTGGAAGCTGACATTATTTATCTCAGTTATTTATGATCCCCAGAGGCAATTCTCAAATGTAAGGCATGGATACCAATATCAAAATATGATGAGGGGGGGAAAAGGGGGGTGCGGTGCAATATAAGGAAGTTCATTGAACTTCAGTATTAATCGATTTTTATCTAAATCCTCCACAAGTTCTGCTGAGCTAAATATCAGTGCAAAGTTGAACTCACTCAACTTTCTAAATGATATCTATTCTCAAGCGGCTGCATTTACTTCCCTGGCACTTCTACAAGCAAGCACTTCATGTTAGTGGTGAAGCGCAAAGAGAAATTCATCAAAAAAGATGCATCTTCTACAAACTGCTAGTCTACATTCTAGCCATGTAGACTAATGCAATGCACTTTAACATCACATGTGTAAGTGTGCCCATTCTGTAAGAACAGCAGGATAGTTAAAATGGAAGAAAACTAGAGATCAACTCGTCTGATCTTCTTATTTTGCATATGGGAAAAAAGGAGGTCAGATCCACCTCTCAACCCATCCGAGTCAGGGAACAGAGAGTGGGTTAAAACTGACACCATGGTGCCATGACCACATGAACTGCTGGGAGACTGCAGAGTGGGCAAAGACTTTCCCAAATATTCTTTCCCTTTGGATTAAATTAGTTCACTGAGAGGACAATTTCCATAAGAGAAAGAAAAGAAACAAATGCCAATGGTATTAGAGTATTTTTGTTTTTTGTTTTTTTTTTAAATGGTTTATTTATTTATTCATGAAAGTCAGAGAGAGAGAGAGAGGCAGAGGCAGAGGGAGAAGCAGGCTCCCCGCCTAGCAGGGAGCCCGATGCGGGACTCGATCCCAGAACCCTGGGATCACGACCTGAGCCGAAGGCAGACGCTTAACCATCTGAGCCACCCAGGCGCCCGTATTAGAGTATTTTTGTAAAAGAACTGTAACGTGTTTAGAATTATCTATGTTTTTATATACAATATGAAAAATTTACATTAAACTCTAAATCACACTTTGTTGGGAATTTCTTATTCAAAGACATTGGACAGCATACACTGCTGTATCAAAAATCAAATTGAATCCACCCAAGAGAGACTGAGAGATCAGTATTTACAGAGTACTCATGATACACAGAATATGTCACTATTTCCAGGTTTAAGAATTTTAATATACATAATAAATCCCAGATTTAATAAAAAAAAAAAAAAAGTGAAGCCAAATTTTGTAGACTCAAGTCCAGAAGTTGAAAAGTTCAGAAGATGAGACAAACAAAATGTAGTCTTGCCAATAGCCTTAGTAGCTAAGAAGTCTTAAGGTTGCTGGTTAGTGGCAGTTTTTCACAGTGGTTTTTATAGAAAGTCTAAAGCAGGTGTGGCAAACTATAGCCTGCAAGCCAAACCTAGTCCACCCCTTGTTTCTGTACAGCCTGTGACCTAAGAATGGTTTTTACATTTTCAAATATCAACAGGAAAAATATTAGAATAAAATTTCATGTTGTATTAAAGCTATATGAAATTCAAGTTTCAGGGTCCATAGTAAGGTTTGTAAGAACACGGCCACACACACTCAGGTTTTATCCATGGTTGGTTACCTGCTCCAACAACAGAGTTGATTAGTTGGGTTGTGAGGAAGACTGCATGGCTGCAAAACCTAAATACTTACTAAGTGGCTCTTTAGAAAAGAAGATTGACAACCCCTGGACCAGAACTCTAAAAACAGGGAGAAAATATTCAGAAAAAGAACCCACTATTCATGCATCTAGGTGTTTCAGCAGCTTTGTACTAAAAACAACTAGATTCCAGTGCCCGATCTAGGTGATCACTGTTGATTGGTAATGCCCAAAGTAAGACTGCAATTATGCCAGCTGAAATTAAATATGTAGAAATGCACTTACAAGTCAGTAAATAAAGAGAAACAGCCTGATTTTTTTTAATGGGAAAAGACATAAAAAATCAATTTCTAAGAGAAAAACAAATGGACAATAAAAATATGAAAAACTATATACTCTAATAAGCAAATACATTTACACTTAAATTACATGAGCCTTTTTCACCTGTAAGCTTAGAATTGCTTTAAAAGATTTTTATAACAGTGTTGGAAGGAAGAATCCCACTCAGGGAGACTGTAAAATGGTAAGATCTTTCTGGAAAGCTATTTGAAAATACCATTCAACATTTTGCTGCACAGCTTTGGTCCAGCAATCCCACTTATAGGAAATTTTCTACAAATATGTTGAAACAACTATACAAACACATATGGACATATATGTGTCCTACAGTACTGTTTTTAACAGAGAAAAATTTGGAAAAAAGAAAAAAACACGAAATGCCAATCAGTAATGGCTTAACCCAACTATGGTAATTTTCTGTAGTGTAATTTTTTTTAAAAAAAATAGGTAAATCTTCATGGATTAACATGAAAAGGAAACAAAGATCTGATAGGTCAATAAACGTAAATATATATATTTGCACACACATTTGTATGCATTATGCAAGGGGAGATTAACTTTCACATTTACCTATACACATGCTTATATTTGAATTCTTCAAATTGCTTATCTTTGAATTCTTCAAACTTGCTTTCCTCTTATAATAAAAATATGAAAATAGATATTAATATGCTTCCAGGTAATACTATGACTTTATTGCCTGTTTCTACTTACATGTAGAGATTTTCTAATACTGATTCTACTTATAGACATTTCTATACTTAATGTTAAACTACATAACTTATTTTAACTGATTATTATTTCCACTTTCAGTTAAGCCAGTGTGGAATTTTTTTTAAAACAATTTCATATCATCTGAGAAAGTACCATGCTATGATCTGATGAGAAGTAAAAGGCTCCTTTTGTAAGAGTTCCCACTATGACTTTCATTCCAAATCAAAACAAATACTTCCTCATCTTTTCAGATATTATTTAGATGGTACTGGTTGGCCACATCAACAGGAACCTTTAAACTGTTAACTCTGATCCAAAGGAAAATCTCAAGAGAGACTACAAATGGAAAAAATAGTTTATTGCCATTTGGCAGGCTTCTAATTTCTATGAGCTTTCAATGTAATCTTCTTTAATTCTTTCTGGATCATACCACTTGGAACCAATTTATGTTTTCAACCACGTACTTCACCTTAAGAGAAAAAGTTTCACAAATCCATTAACCTTTAAAGTTGATTGTTACTCCTCACTCATCAATCAGTAATACAAAGCTCAGAAACTCTAGAATCTGGACAATTCACCCTCTGTGCTTTCTGACAGTTGGGAGTGTGAGGCAGGCTCCTAGTACGGCCTCTGAACCAGGCTGTGTGGGTCTGAAGTTGGCTTGGGGTGCATGATTTTGGCTCAACTGCTCAACTGCTGTGCCTCAATTTTCTCATCTGTAAAATGGGACCAATCTCTGAGGATTTTTGTTAAAAAGTAAATAAGATCATATCATTTAGAGCACTATACTCACTGGCTATACTGATTATATTGGTTTTGACTAAATATAGGATTTAAATTTGGTTTCTTGTCATTTGGCAAGCTTCTAATTTCTGGGATCTTTCATTTCACCTTTGATTCTTCCCCATCCATCCCCAAAGGTATACATGGTATCCCACTTTTAACTTCATTTAACAAGATACATACTAACACCTACCACATGATATGCATTAGTCTATGCACTTGGTGAATCTTCACTCATTTCATTCCTTAACAAATCAACAAAGTAGATACTATTATTTATTTTCATTGTAAGGAGAAGGCAACAGTTTCATAGAAAACATAAATAATTTGCCCAAGGTCACAAGAAAATAAAAGCTGCAATAAGAAACTGAGCCAAGGCACTCTGGCTCCTGAGACAGTGCTCCTATCTGCTCTGCTGGGCAGCCTCTCAGACAAGCTAACAAGGGTCCCTCGGTTGGGGAGGGGGGCAGCATTGCTGTGAATCAAAGGAAAGTCAACTAAT